CCCTTTCCTTAACCCTTAGCTTCTCTTAGCCTGAAACTGAAAATAGATGTTATAGTTTAAATTTAGGACTTCTACGGAAGCTAAAAGTTATTAAAACTACAGTCCAGGAGTGTATCTCCAGACCCTTCCAATTTCTTCAATTTTCCTGAAAAGACGCCTTCTTCACGATCAGGAAGGGTTGCTGCCTTCACCTTCAGCCTTCCTGAATCGCTCAATTCTTTCGGTAACGATTGTACCAGCACAATCGTTACAACTCGGAAGGCTTCATGTTTTCTCGATAGTTGTTCCTCTCGTTATTGTCGCAATTTGTCTCGCTCTACGTGGTTGTTTTTTATGGTAGCGAAAATCAAGGTTCTGTTTTTCGCCGTTTTTCAGTTCTCGCAAAAATAAAAAATGTCTTTCTTTTTGAACGAAACTTTAAAAATAAGGATGTCAACTAAAAGTGACCCTTCCCAATCAGTTTTTTTCGTCAAATTACACCGTTAATCATCCAAACTGTTCTTTCGTACAATCAAACTACTTCAGATAAAATTCGTTCTGACGAACCATTTTCTGGCGGCATTCCGGTCGAATAGCACATTCGTCAATTTCCACAAAATGAAAAATCGCTCAGACTTATGCTTGTTGATGTCATTTTCATCCTGAAAATCATCAACGAGGAGAAATTAGAACGTTAGCGAGCGTCGGAATCCAGCAAATCGGAAAATAAAACAAAAAATGTTCAAGATTGATGAAAAGAAAAAGAAACGAAATTATTTCGTTTCTTTTAAATGTTTTTTTTTGGGTTTAATTTTAAGTTGGGTTTTATTTCAAACTTGAGTAAAACTTATAGCAAAATTTCAAAATTGGACAGCCGATAAACAATAAAAGTAATTTTGCAGATTGATAAAGCATAAAAAGACAAAACAGCAAAAAAAATTGCTCTGAGCGTTCGCGAACATCTCAATATAATGCTCTGATAAAATTACAGCTTTAATTTTGGTTTCTAATTTCCCACTCAATTCCCGGAGTTGTTTTTGTATTCCTGGTGACGAAAAAATACGTTCAATTTTTCGAACAAAAAACTGGTGCTTCGTGTATTTTTCAGTCAATTTTAAATTTTCAGAAATCACTCTCGACGATGAATTTTATATTCAGTCAAAAATTAATTCATACCTTGAGCTCAAAAGTAGGAAAATATTACTGCGATTTTTTTTTTCGTTATGCTATGAAGAGTGTTGTTACTCAAAAAGAAGAATGCGAAAACAATTGTCTCTTGTATGTCAAATTAATACTGCTCAGAGATCTGTCCGAGATAAATTAGGACCACCAAAAGTAGATAGCAATTAACAGATAAACTAATGAGCAGAACGGACATTAAATTAATAGACTGTCATTTTCCATGTACCAAGCAACTTTGAAAACATGCTTCGCTTTCAAACCAAAAAATTCAAGCAGCTTCATATATCTAAAGCCTTCTTTAGAATCAACTAAATTCGAACATTTTTTAAACAAAACTCTTTTGTTTTTCCCATTTTCAATGAATAATTCGAAGTCACGCTGAGTTTGTTTCCGTAAAAAAAAAAAAATTGGTCGCAAGCGATAATTTGAAACAATTTTAAAAGCGACAATTCGAACCCAGCATCATTTCGTAGCAAGCGAATATTCACAAAAATTTGCGCATTTTTTTGAAATAAACTTTAAATCGAATTGAGTTTACAGTAGTTGAAAACATGAAGGTTATTTTTCCGACTTTACTAACGAAATTAACGGAATAATTGTGCTCTTGGTGGTTTTTGTTTGCTTCAGACAAATTTCGACTTTTTAACCAGCCTTCTTTGATGGATTTTTTTTATATCATTCGAAATATATTGTTGTCTGGAGCTTAAATTTGAAAAGATATTTCATCTCTGATTTTTATCGTAAATTTATGGGGGTTCAAAGATTATCATTTTGGCAAATGTGAGACAATCAATGCGCGATATGTGTTGCGCTCTTTACGCGTATGCGGAGATTTAAACCGTCTTAAAAATCGTTCCAACTTAGTTGAAAAAAGCTTATTGGCCATAATTGATTTGTTACTAGACGCAACGTTTATCACTTTGTACTTTATTTGGCGTGTGGGGAGATAATTTCCCCCCAAAAAATCTCAAATTTCTTTTTGTTTCACTACATTTAATTTTTTCATGTTATTACTGCTCTATAGACTTTAAAAGGCAGTCTCGGAACATTCAGGGCTTCGCCCTGATACAACCCGTCTTGTTGGTTTTCAAACACTTTTGCTTCGATGCGCTTGTTTCAATTATATCTAGCACAATTTTCCACTTACTGATACCAATATGCTTTTAAACTTCATGAAGCATAAAAAAGTAAGAAGATTTTTTTTTATACAAATGTGCAAACTTAAGCTTTGAAAAATTGAATTGTTCCGAAACGCCAAATTAGTGGTTTGACTGACAGGCGTGCAATTCTGCAATTTGTTGACCGGCTTCCGTATTGAAAAGGCAAACATTTTTGAGCTAGCTGTTAATTTTTCCAGACAATTTTAACTCAAACAAGACTGCTGGTATTTAAGGGAGAAACTCTGAATCTTCTGAGTGCTTTCAAATGCTAATTAAAATATTTTTGAAGGAGAAAATAATAAAATAGTCGAACTTAAACAAAAGTATTTTTTTTTTCATCTTGCCACACGCTTTAAAAAGTGTAAAACGACTCTTTTCGAGAAAAAAGACAAAAAAATGTTCCCAAAATTAATTCGAAAAGATTAAATCCGCCGTTTACTGGTGCTATAAGTACGCAATCTATCGCGCGTTAATTATCCGTAACAGACCAAACCAGCCATTTTCAAACCCTCATAATTTTATGACAAAATAGTCACCGTTGATTTTTTTATGTAAATAATTGAGCTCCGTCTAGAAAAGTTTTTCCGTCCAGCAGGGTTAAATTTTTCTTTAAAACCAGTAAAACTCTACAAACATTGAAGATATTGTCGCTTTGAGTTCGCCATTGAGGTCTGACTGAGCAATTTATTTCATATTTTGGGCTTTATATACCCAAGCAACTCTAGTGTATGAAACGTAAATAGAAAACTTACTCAAATTCAGACAAATCTACAGGTTCAAGCAAGTGACCAGGAAAAAACATGACATTTAAGGCTTCTCATTTCTCTTGGAGGACTTTCACGTTTAAAACTTTAAATTTTCGATAATATAGTAAACAAGACTGCTCGTATCAGTGCGAAGCCCTGAATGTTCCGACTGCCCTTTAAGGTTTATGGAGCAGTCATAACATAAGGAAAATAAATGTAATAGAAAAAAATGAAAATTTTTTTTTTCTAAAATTTGAAATTTTTTACGAAAATCATCCCCCCACACACCATATAAAGTACAAAAGGATAGATTTTGCGCCTTGTAACAAATCAATTATGGCAAATATGCTTCT